GAGGGAGGGCACTTATTCAAGGAAATTATTAGAACAGAACCACTTCTCTTTTTACCAGTCAGTCGTCGATATGCATGGCCTAATTCCTGGAATTTCTGTGTTGACAAGGGGTCATCAGGATTCTGAAAAAGGAATTAATATTTTATAACAGAGCTTCAATAACACCAATTAGAAGGGATATAGCTGGAATTTGCTACCACTCTGTCTATGCTATAATCTAAGTTTTTTCATAACATTTTATAAAACAAACATATTTCTTGCCAAGAAATAAAACATTCTTAATGAAAATCTTTCATATGCTGACTAATCAGAAAACTTGCACATTTGTGCACAACATATGATCCTCAAAGCGAAGTCATTCTTATATTGCCCCAATCTGTGACATGAATTTGATATATCTCTCAATAAAGAAATGAAAACTTTGAGTTGAAATTTCCAAGACATGTTTCGACATTCTCATGTCATCTTCACTTGCAAATGAGCTTTTAACGGTTGTACATTTGAATTTATATTCAGGTACATTACAAATTACGTGTAGGGCTACGTTACAAATTGAATATTAAATACGCAAAAAATGTAAATAGCATGCACTTGACTAGACCAAAAAAAAAAAAATAATAATAATAAAGTAAAAGACCAAGGAACAACATAATTAAAAGGAAAGAGACAATTCTATCCTTTTAATTATGTTGTTCCGCGATCTTTTATTTTATTATTATTATTGTTATTATTTTTTGGTCTAGTCAAGCTCGCGCTATTTACATTTTTCGCGTATTTAATATTCAAATTGTAACGTAGCCCTACACGTAATTTGTAACATACCTGAATATAAATTCAAATGTACAACCGTTAAAGCTCATTTGCAACTGAAGATGACATGAGAATGTCAAAACATGTCTTGGAAATTTAAACTTAAAGTTGTCGTTTCTTTATTGAGAGTTATTGTCACTCTGCTGTCTTTACGTCAATTTGATATTTACTGGTATTGTAGTAAAATTTATGGTATAAGATACAGTATCAGGCCAGTCTGCATATCAAAGGTGATACATCCCTTGGGCCCAAACTCATGCATGTATCACTGCAGTACTACCTCTTAGCTTTACAACTACCATATAAAACTGTGATATGCTACTGGCATACAAACTGTGCACTTAGAGACATAAGCATGCTATAGCCACACTCTCTACCCTGGGTATCAGGTACCTTATCTGGGTGACACTGTAGTGCCTTTTTCCTGTAAGCACTCTTGATTTCATCTGAGAGGAAAAGAGAATTTCTCAGTACCTTCAACTCATCCCCTCTAGCTATCAAATGAATAATTCTCCTTTCTTTTAATTGTAATGCATTTCCCTGTTTATACATCGATATAAATTCACTGTCTTACTAATATATTTCTTTACTCCTATCAACTAAATTACAGTTTGTTAACCCTCTCAAAGATCAATTCTCCACACTTTTCCCTATACATTTCTCATATCTTTTGATCTTAGATTCTGATACAAAATAAAAAATAAATCCCCTGGTAAATAGTTTCCTTCTCTCCACCTTCCTTTGTCCGATTGCCGACACTTATACCAACGAATTGAAGAACACAAAGGATCGGCAATCGGACACCACTTCAGGGATCAGCACGACTTGGAGCCAAAAGACATCACACAGAATTTTCGAATCTTAAGGAAGTGTCAGAACAAATTGAACTATACCTTGTTTTTGAAATGTTTTTTGTCAAACAACTGAAACCAACGCTAAACAAACAGTGCCATTCAATTCGCGCCAAACTATTTGTTTAGAACAATTCGTGCTACGATTTTTTTATTCTCTTCCATTGTACATTGCTTACACTTTTTCACATATTTTAGCGTTCGGCACATTTTATCGTCTTCAACTTGTTTCAACATATTTATGCTGATTTGGAAAACTTACTCACTTGAAAATGACCTCAGAGACGTCGAAACGTCGTGACTTCTTAGCGCTATCTTTTATTTCAAAGTCGATTTCTAAGAAACTACTTACTAAAAGCATTTGAGTTATGGAAACTTGTAAACACAAATATTTATTGCGCTATTTACACCCAATGGTTTAGACGCTGCAGAACTGTTAATATTTGACAGTCATTCGGATGTAATGTAAATAAGACAAAGCGCTCCATTGCAAAGAGACTGAACCTTTTCCTAAATATTTCCAAAATCAGGACCGATCAGCTTCTGCGTAATTTCGGTCTAAATTCAGAAGTTACTAACTGAAGAAAAAAAATTGCGGACTAGGAGTCCACAGAGCTTGCTAATTAATCAACAAACTGTCAAAGTGTGAGAGAAGTACGCAAGCTCCTAGATGCAAGAGATTCACACGGAAACCTGCCGGCAAACAAAAAGAAATCCTCAAAAAATACCTTCTGTTGCGCCATAATCCACGCCAAGGATCTTGTAGCATTCTTCCAAAGTCTTTCCCATGGCGAAAAGGAGATTTTTTTCTCACACAATCACCGACGGTTTTCGCATGTTTGACATCTGACGAGGATTCCCGCCTTATAGATAGAACCTCGACTTCACGTGAAAATTTAGCCGTCTAACTAGGGGAGACCAGTGGAGTTTTGTGCAAACTCGTGCGACAAAATTGAGCCATAATTTATGATTCAATAATTTAAGGGCTTTATCCATTAACTAGCCCAATGAGAGCTGATTCACTGATCTTGCCTTAAACTCCACAATTTTTTCCCACTTCTTTACAAACTTTCTACGATGTTTTGCATTGAGAGAAACTGGTAACGAGGGTAAGTCGCCCCGGTGACTTTTGACTGTAGGAGCCAAGTGAGATGGAATAGCGAAGCCTACTAAGTTTACTGGCCATGCGGTCTAAACAGGAAAACCGGCGAAGCTTCTCCTTTGATACCTTGTTTACTTTTTCTGATCAAATGGTAGCAGACTTATTATTGAGCATCAATAATGTGTCCAGGGAGAAAAAGTGGAGCATAGGGCACTCCCTACAATTGACGTCTCCCAAGCAAAAGAATTGTGGAATACCACATGTCTTCTGTCCTAAGGGAACGCTGATAAAAATCATAATTCTCTTAACTGCAATCATAAGAAATGTGTTAAAAGCAAAGAGGAGAACTTTTTGCGAGATCTTTGGTGTAAAAGGGTTAATAAATGGAGGTCCTGTCTCCTGCAGGAGTGGTAGGAGACGTTAATTTCCCACGCACAAGATTATTGTGTGATGGATCTCCTTCCCTGGGGTGGGGTGGGTGGGTCGGGTTTAGGTGGATGAACCTTGTTGGGGACTACGTGTCTTATTGTTCTTCCACCTGTACAATGTACAAATCTTTAGAAACAAATGACAGTATATCAGAGCAGTGCATTCAGCAAACGAACTACTTTAAAACCAAAGAGCAAGAGCACAAAGCCAATCTGATGAACAAGGGCTGATCAAAAGAATCCTAACCAACAAGTTCCAGAATTCTGTTTGAAAGCTTTCCCTGGTGCTTTTAATAATTAAAATAATCCTCTTTACAGTCAGATCTAAGAATAGTCAAAAAGAGATAAAAATATGTTTATATAAGGTTAAGAGCATGTCATTCTGATAATGGCTGACTAGGGGGGAGGTCTAAGCAGAAAAAGGTAATAAAAAATCCACTGACAAACAAGTTATAAATCATGATAGTCTTATAATCACAAGTCAATAATCAATAACAGTTTAAATTTCTCTAGTCATAATTGCAATATCTAATAATTAACAAATGCTAAACAGCACAGCGTACAGTATTGAGTTATGGATGCAGGCGGGAGGTTGCTAAGCATGAAAGAAGCGTAAGAGTCGCTCGAGGCGATAGCCGAGAGCGACTCTAGCTTCTTGAGTGCTTAGCAAACCTCCCAAGTGCATCCATAACTGAATAGTGTACGCTGTGGTGTTTACCATTTGTTTTATAACATAACATTGATACATTGTAGCTAAAGAGTTCCCTTTTATTTAACAAATCTTACGTGACCAGAAAAAACAAGCGCGCGCAGAAAAATAGTCTTTGCATTTGCTCACGTCAGCAGCGTACACCCATGGGCATGGGGGACGCTAAATTGACCAATCAGAGCGCACGCTTTACTTTGGTTATGTTTTAATTCATAACCTTTGGTACAGGAAATGTTTTCCATGGATCTTCAGCTGTCAGTAACAATGTACTGAATGAGTCAGAAACTAGGTTGACTTAATAGCAATCATTTTGGTTTGTCCACAACTGTCTCTTTCTCTTTCTTTCTTCTTTCTTTTTTAGTTAAATCCCTCACAACCCCCCTCTCCTCCACCTTATTTCTGCTCCTGTTATCAAAGGACGAAAATAGGTCCCTCAGAAGCTCATTTTTTACACTAAACATTTTATAACCAAGCACATATTTCTAAACTACTTCTTCCTCAAAAGAGCTGATGTCTTGTGGAAATAAAAAATGAATCCAGTTCCTAACAAATCCTTTGTTATAGCTATGTGTCCTCATCACTTCACAAAATGACTTCTTCTTTGAAGACCTTCTGAACTCATCACCAGTCAAATTAAGGCTAACAAATACAAGCTGTTGAAACAGGAGCCCACACATGCCTAATATGAAGATGATTGTGTACCAACATGCAACAAACACGAAAGAAGACCTGAAATGGAAACTGAAACCTGTTAGAGGAACCTGTTATTAAAGGTGGATCAAGGCGAGGTACATTTTGGTATTTTCCCATTTTTCATTTTATTACTTTTCAGACAGCATCTACATGTATCACAAAGAGGGAGTGTAACATCTCTTTCCATTTTGCTATCTTGATATTTATTTTACCATATTGCAAAAAATACCTTCTTTGACAAACTAATCAACACAACATTTCAAATATTATTTGAATCAAAAGTAGATTCATGTGAAAGTGAGCCAGAGATCACAGACATTGAAGGTTTGAACCGCCTCCCAGTTAGCTCAATTGTTTAAGCACCAGACTGTTGTGCGGGAGGTCGAGGGTTCAAGCCCCAGCCTGACCAACACTCAGGGCCTTAAAATAATTGAGAAGAATAAGCTAACTTTCTATAACATTGATCAAGAAATGGTTAGATACTCTAGTCTTCTCAGATAGGGATGAATAAATGGAGGTCTCGTCTCCTGCATCTATTAATTAGTTGATTTGGTTAGGCAGGGGACATTAAAGAACCTACTTCATGAGATTACTATGTTGTGATCTGGCCTGTTTACTGGGAATTGGGGGGAGGGGGCATCTGTTATTCGCCTTTATTTGATTGTAAACTGCTTAGCAGTCTGGTAAAGTCCCCCGTACAGTGTTGTGAAGCGCCATGAATTTAAGATATGAGTGCTATATAAATAAAAGTTATTATTATCATTATTATTATTGATACCAATCCAAAATATTGAAACAAAAAAATTATAGTTGGAAAGCTTTGCTACTTTGAACTAAAATATGGCACTTGAATAAATATCAACCAAATACAATGTGACCTAGTTTCCTATGAGGCTCTTCTTTAGGGTATCACTCAATGTTTTCTTATGTGACATCCCAAAGAATGGGTGCAAAGAAGAGAGAGGAGTCAGAATTGGACTAGACCTACCTGGAATTAAAGTAGACATTTGAGCAATCTACATGGAAAATGCTGTTGTCTTTAGATGAACAGATAGTGAAAATAGAGAGATAGACTCCCCATAGTCCAGTACCCAAAAAAATAACTATAGCAGCAAGGAAGGAATGGTGGTTGTGCTGTCCAATACAACAGTTTGTCCTGCATAAATAAAATAACAAATATGATAAATACATTATTATTATTATTACATTATTATTTATAGATTTTATAAAACATTTCCAGATTACAAAAAATGTTAAAACTGCATTGATAATTCATTAATCATCAAACACATTATAATAAATATCCATTTGAAATCAAACTCTACTGAACATTAAAAATTCAAGGCAATTTTGGTTTTATCAAATGAGTTGATAATGTAAATTGACCACCATAACAAGTTTCAGAGCTGGTATTTCAAGCGTTAGCCCCTTATCTGAGTAAAACTTTTTCTTTCTTTGTCTTTCACTCCAAGAAACAGCTTGTCAATTTGGTTTTTTTATGGCTCAAGTAAATGGCATTAACAATTAAACATAAAAAGTTTGACACTAAAAAAAATTTTTAGTGATTGTGTCAGTTGGGTGAAGACAGTGAAATAAGACAAAATACATGTTCAATGCAATAAAACGATGACTTAGTTTGAAATTGTAGAGCAAACCTGAACACAAATCTTTCTTATGAAAGAACAAAATCTATGAAGTATTTGTTCTTACCAAACACAATGATGGTCGGATCTTGGAACGCAGTAACCACAAATCCTACATAAAGAGGGAAAGAAATATTCTACATTATTATATGGCTGGGAAAGACTCGGAACTACCAAATTCACAAATTTGATTGGCTGAAATCAATATTGAAAGGGGTCTAGATTTTCTCATCTAGACTGGCATCTAGACCGGTCTAGAAAAAAAAGGTACAAAGAATATAAAAAATTGGCATATAAGACACAGCCATATAATAAACATCTTATTAACTGAGCTAGGTTGGTCTGTATGAGAGAATCTTGACCTCGGTTGCTGGTACAGACCTCACTGCGTTCAGTCTGTACTGGCAACCTTGGTCAAGATTCTCCCATACAGACCTCCCACTCAGTTAATAAGAACTAATTATAAAATGAGTCACTGAATCTCACACCTTTAACCCTGAGTTTGCAAGTACTCCATGCAATATTTGAATGGTATCACTTACACTCTGTTGACTGGAAAATATCAGTCTCACAGCATTTGAGAAAAGAAACAAATACCACTACTGCTACTATAATACACCTCAGATGATAAGGGTCTTCATTTGACCTTGAGTTTCTATTGGCCTTGTTTAACTCATAATACCCACAAGGCAATGATAAGCTGTATTTTTTAGGCAAAATGTAAGTACTTGTCTCCAATTTACCACTCCTGGTGGGTTGGCCCACAAACACAGATACTTCAGGAAATTCTCTCTTTCTAGAGTCTGCTGTGGTGCCTAACCTTATATGGAAAGTTGAATTTACTGATGAACAACATTCAAGAAGTACTTAGTGCATGGCAACTAGATACAGTCACCTAACCAATGCTCCTATTCCCTTATCCCCAACCCTTATCCTATGCTTGCAATATCCTTCAATTCATTAATGCTTTGAAATTTCATTTTGTCCTTTTTGTTTATTCTTAAGTATGGTAACCACTGGTTTCAAAGAAAGGGTGATTAAATCATAATAGGGTATTCACAAGGCAACAGAGACAAGAATTTGTCAGCTAAATTTTCACGACTCATTAAGCTGTTTTCATTCAGATGTATACAATATGTTCTCCTGTTCTTAAACTTAACACAATTGTCCTCCATCTACATTTCCCAGTGAAATCCCTGCCTAGCAGGAGAATAGCACTGAGTCATAGTCATAAAATTCCAGTACATCCAATACCCTACCTACAATGCTTTGCCCTGATAAAAGGTCCTTCTGTACAGAAACAGCAGTTTAGATCCTTATAATCTGTGTCATTGTGATTTGCATTGTTAAGAGAAGGGGGCTTAGAGCTCAAAGCGTACATATTTAAGAGCCTCCTTGAGAATATCACACGCAAGTATAACGACAAAACAAGACCAAACCCAAGAGAGAGGACCGAAGAATTAAGGTAGGAATTGAAGGGAGCTACATAAGCAATATATAGAATAAAATTACCAACAAGAGATGTTAAAGTCCAACTTACGAAGAACCAGGTCCTTTTACGTTGGTTGAGCACATAAATATAATAAATAAGGATGAAGACCGGAACATAGACCAGAGCTAGCACCGTAAAGACTAGACTGTTACTTGCAAAGTAGAGAGATATGCCTAAGAAAAGAATTGGAACAACATAGTCGAATTCCAATTTCTGGGCGCCATTAAACCAAGGAATACGAATGCGATCAGAAATAACCATAGATATATCATGCAGTTTTTGCTTTGAAACTTTGTTTCCTTGAAGGCACTGATCCACGGCGTTGTCTAGTTCATCGCACTCACAACAGAAGGCGAGTAAGTGCGTTCTATGGCCATGAAGGTTACGAAATTCACAACAACACAAAGGGGAAGGATCTGTTGCCATTTTTCACCGAGAAGTAGGCGCTACAGGCTCTTCCTTTTCATGTTATGCTGCATTGTAAAAATGTAACTAAAACGCCGGGCGCGGGCATCGAACCGCAGACTAGGAGAATTGTTTGGCACCTACCCATCGGCCATTTTATTGAGCCCGCAATGAATAACAATCTTAGAATGTGGTGTAACATTCCTCAACTATAATACAATGATCTTGCGCCAATCCCCGTCACAGGGGTGGATTTCCTCCCGCCTTTTAAGCAGTCGACAGCTCCAAGTTAACTGATAACTGAAAAAAATCATCAAACACCCTTTGACCATTTCTTCTGGTCAGCACTCAGGGATAATAATGACTTTATGGGGGAGTACTGAACTTCAGCCACGCCCTCAACGCTCACGACGTAACTGAAGATCCCACTTCTTAAGCGACGTTCGGCGGAAGACATAGGAGGATCAATTCAAAATTACCAACGACCGTCCCCGTACCTTATTCACAAAAACTTCTTCCCAAAACACTGCACTAAAGGCCACTACCAGAGTAGGAGGAAAAACTTAGAGCAAGATAACATCTTAAGAATTCAGGTGCTTCACCTATTCAGGAAAGTGATTAGCCGAAGAAAAAGTCTAATTAAGGATATTAACAGGGGATTCGAATGTCTCCGCCGGGATTATAACCAAGTTATAATCCAAATGTTTAAATTGGTGCAACAAGGAAAAGAAAAAATTTTTTTTCCTAAGATCTTAGCCCATACTTAATGCCACATTTAGGGTATGGAGAAACAAAAACCTCGGGAAACAACAGTAAAGTTAACAGTGACATTCACAAAGAATTCAATTTTGACAGCATAACTTTCATATTATCTCCTGTCAGAATACTCACAAGGATGTATATAAGAGTTGGTTATAAATTTTACACATAAGAAGAAAACTTAAAATTGCTTAAATTTACAAGCCCTTAAAATTTTATACAGACTCAAATGAGAAGTGGTTTTTTTTTTCCCTACAGCCACATGGAGAAATGGCCTTCGGCACAAGGTACAAGAAATATATTTTACATTATTTAAATATTGATTATGGCACTGTCAGTATAAATACATTATCCAGTACCATGCTGATGCCCTAAAGGATTTGTTTTAATTTGAATTTCCTGTAAATGATTATGATCACTTTTTTATGGTGCCTCATTATTTAAGTACAAAAGTGTATTAACAATCTTGAAATGCACAATTGCAGTGCAGTGCCTTCTAAAAATTTTTTGTTTGGAACAATTTGTATACATTGCAAATAAAACAGCACCTAAAATCTGAGCACAAATTTTAATGGCATTGGCAAAGAAAGCCAGTTACAGCAAGAAAGATGATTGATGGGAAACACCTCGGAACCTCTTGGAATTAATAGAACATTTAAGTCATGAGGAATTTTTTTTTTGTTTTTATCACTGGCCTTAGTTGCAAACACCTTTAAAAACTGTCCTTTTATCTAACCACAAGTAAATTAGTAATGAATTGTACATAATGAGCCTTGGAAAGTAAAACTTAAGATTAAACAAAACTGCAACCCTGTGTACTCCCAAAATACACAGAAAGACAAATCTGCATTGTGAACTTGATTTCAACACTATTTACAATACAATTTAGGCTCTTTTTTTTTACAAGAAATTCTATCAACCAAGGCCCCTTTTATGGACAAAAACTTGCATTAATTATAATTGTTATCAGGTCTAATTCAGGAGCCTGCTTGGGAGACCGAAGCCACGGCCCCATCCACAACTACTGGGCCTGTACTTGAGGATGTTCCTGAGCTACTTGTACCAGCCCCTCCAGAATTCCTCTGCACATGAGGGGGTATAAGGGTTGAATTTAGAGAGGGTTTAACTGCTAGCTCTGCAAAGAAACACAACCAGACCTGTAAGAATTTAGCTGTCAAGGAATTAGGGTAAGTCCAATCCCTCAAAACTGCTGTGGAAAACACCAGGTCCAAACACATAGAAGGGTGAAACTATCAATCTGACAATGGGCATTTAAAACAGTGAGGTGTTTTGAAGCCAAACCCATAAAGGTCTGATACCAATATTTTATTTTACTTGTGAAATGAAACTGTGAAAATAGATTGCGTTTCTCATGTTAATCATGTGGGCATGGAGTAGTACTATAGGAGTTTGGAAATATTCAGCATTGAAATTTGCAATTCATTTCCATAGACTTTTGTGGTAAAAACATGGCTGGTTGGTTTTGCTCTCCAAAGAACAAAGAAGAAGAAACCAGTCCAGAGTTGGAAGCCACTCCAAAAGTAATAAAATACAACACTAAATAATTCACAATTCTCATGAATTATTAATGAATTTTACAAGCAGTTCTAAAACGATAATCTAATCCAAAAGGAAGAAGTGAAATCATTAAATCTTTTTCTTTAGCCTCCATTTGATGTAGTTGGCCTTCGCATGCTGACTAAGTCCAAACTTACAAACTATTGCTCATTTATGCATAGCTGTTAACTTACCTTAGGTTACTACTTTATAATAGCATAAAGTGTCTTACCTTGAGTTGTAAAGTTAAAAAGAGGGGGTAAATCTCGTCCATTTGGAAGTTTAGTGTTAGGATCGCGGAGTTCATCAAAGAAAACATGTGCACATGACTCCACAGGTATTAGTCTTGTTGATGGGGTATACTCAAGTAATCTACTGCACAAGTTTATTGCTTCTGGTGGAGTTTTGGGTCTGAAAACCTGAAATTTAGAACATTTAACGCAAATTCAATTTCTAACCTGTGCGGAGGCCTCATGGTTAGAGCACTCGACTCCGGATTGTGTGGTCTGGGTTCAAGCCCCGGCTGGGACATTGTACTGTGTTCTTAGGCAAGACACTTTACTCTCACAGTGCCTCTCTTCACCCAGGTGTATAAATGGGTACGGGCAATTTAATGCTGGGGGTAACCCTGCGATGGACTGGCATCCCATCCAGGGGGAAGTAAAAATACTCCTAGTTGCTTCATGCTACAGAAACCGGAGTTAAGCACTGGCCTAATGGGTCACTAGGCTCGTAAACACACTTTACCTTTACCAATTTCTAACACTCCATTTTTAAATACCTAAATTTGGATAAAAATGTTATTTAACTGAATACCTTTGCCTTATCATCTGTGAAACTGGTTTAGAGGTAAAACACCTTTATTCACACTCACATTCAATGCATTGTCAGTTCTGGCTGAACAAGTTAGGCATGTTCTTTGTCCGGAGAAACTCATGCGAGAATGAGAAATGCCAAAGTTTCTTCATACTACCCTATTGAATTCAATCTCATTTTATGAGCAATGTGCATTGAATTCTGCCAATGAGTCGCTTTTGCACATGCCAATAGGCTTGAGTTTTGCAATGTTTGATGGAAAAGGGAAAAACACTTCTTCCTCGAACAATTTCAACATCAAATGACTATGTGCAAATGAAGCTTCATTATACAGCCAGTAAAGCTCACTCAGCAAGACAAAGATAACTCATATGATTTTACCTTTGTCCATGGATGAGGCTTGATCTGTGGAAATTTGAATTCAGTGTAGTGTGGGTTCATTTCCTTGATTTGTTCCCTTGTTGGAGTGCCCAGAACTTTAATTATCTCCACAAGTTGATCAACACCGCTGGCCCCTGGAAAGATTGGTTGTCCAAGGAGAAGCTCTGCCAGCACACAGCCAGCAGACCACACATCTGAAGGAAAAATATATAAATATATTGCTATCAGGATCCTTTTAGCTGATACACTTTGGTTGAAAAAGGTTCATTAAATTGGTTATTTACACTGTGAACAAGTTTTAAAATACCCAAAATCTTACTTCATATGCCAACCTTTCTACACTTCATCACTGGTTTGATTGGTTGGTTAGTATGCACCAGTGAGAAAACTTTGAGTCAACAAAAGACAGATTACTTAAAGGAAACTTAAAGATGCAACAAGCTAGACATGATCAGCTAAAATTATTCCAATAGCCCATTTCCAAATTACCTTTAGCCTCTTTTTCAATGCAAAGTTGTAGTGCTCATCCTTTCAGATGAGAAAAAGTTTTCATTTACATGCAAATTAAACTCACTTTCACAAGAATAGTTAAGCACTAGGCATCGTTTTGAAAAAGACGCCAAAGGTAATTTGCAAATGGCCCATTCTCACAAAACTGCTTACAAAACTTCAAACTGGCTAGAACCTTCTTTAAACATTAAATCTGCCTTTACAGTTGACCTGGCATTGGATTCTGTCAAAAACCATCATTTGATTGTAATGATTTCCTACACGACTTCAAAGAGCAAGAAAATACACCATCCATGTCTATCCCGTCTACTTAAACAATAGAGTGTTTCTGTCAAGGAACTATTGGCTGATAGTTGCCCCGCGGAAATTTGATGCTCTTAAAACAAATATTTGCCCGAGAAGTGAAGCTTCGAAGGGAAATATGCTAGTTGTCTTTATTGTTCACCACTAAATTTTCTTCCGCACCTACAGCTTGTCACAAATGTCAATAATTCACAACCGTACATTGGCTAAATAATACGTTATACCTGTCAGAATTGAAAAGTCACTGTTTTTCCGATCTGCCTAACTTCGCAGCCGTCAAACTATTCAAAACTTTTCACGGATGAGTACTATCAATCCAGGTATTTTGTGCAGATGGGCACTATCTATCCAGGTATTTTCCTATGGGCTGATAGTGTCCCTCCACGGATGAACAATATCACATCACATGATTGATTTAAACCAATAAGAACAGGAGAAAATTTAGTGGTGAACTATAACTACAAATATGCATGTTCCAATACATGTTTGAGAAGAAATTGCCAAAAGCACCATTCAATGTCAACCATATCTTTGTAAATAAGAATAATCTACAGTAGGATCAGTAATGGACCTGCTGATAAGCTGACTTACCAATATCAGGTGTGTAGTCTGTGGCTCCAAAGATAAGTTCTGGTGCGCGATAATATCTTGAACATATGTAGGAAACATTGGGCTCCCCTTTCACTAAAACCTTGGCACTAAAAATAATGAGCCAAAATTAATTGGTTGGAAATTGACTTCTGCAAAAAGATAATTTTAAAAGGACAAGTGGAAAGTGACTAAATGACACAAGTGAAGCAGGCCACCTTGAAGTTATGCTGTATGTTTTTACACTGCAGTAAGCTCATTGACAGCTTTTCGAAAGCCCTTCATACATCCTACACAAATGTAAGAGACACCCCTAAATTTGCTCTTACCTCCCAAAATCACACAACTTCAACACAGCAGTTTCAGGGTCAAGAAGTAAATTCTGTGGTTTGATGTCACGGTGGCATATACCAACAGAGTGGATATAGGCCAGAGATCGAAACATCTGATACATGTAGAGCTGCAACAAAACAAAATAAAATGTGTTCAAAAAATTTTGAATTGCTTGTACTGTCTTTTGATCACCACAAAACAACTTTCCTTGCTTTTGAAGTTTAACTGGCATTAGCTATAATGCTTGGCTCTCAAGAAGTTGATTTTCTCCAGCCATCTACAATTACTGACAGGAATAATGATCAAATAACAAAAAAAAAAAATTACAACAAGGAGAACAGGAAGGAATCACAGTAATGCTTAAGTAAAGTTTCTAAGTTTACTGTTTTGTTGCTGAGTTTAGATTACCTTTATATACAATATGGGAATGGTTTGCTTTGCTTTACTGTAATGTCTTGCTACTCGGTAAACTGTCTCCGGAACAAAATCAAGAACCAAATTTAAATAGATTTCTTCTTTCTGTATAGGAAAGGAAACAGAAGAAGAAATGAACATCACTATGTCTGATGTGACTTCCAGTTTATGATGACAAAACAATTTATGAAAAAAGTGTGCTTTTCATCACAAATCATAACACTTGCTATTTAATAAGAACATTAGACAACACAACTTAGCAAACTCAAGCCATTAAATTAGTTGTTTATGGACCAAAATTTGTTCATAAATCCCTGCATCCAAATGTTCAAGTAATAAGCTGTTTCCTGGTGTAAAACTCTAAAATGTACCAGCTGCTATGGACAATGGTAAACCACAGCAAATTGTTTTTCTTAAGAGAACATTCCACCAGAAATGCTTCCCCAAAAATTGAAAGGTATTCCTTTTTAATGAAAATCATTCCTTTGCTCCAGAGTTACCCAAAGTTGGCAAGTGATGATGTGAATCTTTAAACCACATGAGAAAATTATGACATTCTGCAAATAAGTATTGTGGGGAATTTTGAACAACCACAAAGTACATCAATTAATTTATACCAATTACCAGAGGAAATGTTACACAAAACCTTGGTGGTTTGGTAAAATGTAAACAAGATTATCAATGAGATTAACCAGGACTTAGAAATAAAAAATTGTTGAAAAAAAAGAAAATTAAGATACTGCTGCTTTTCTCTAAAATGGACTAGTTTTAGTGGAATGTCACATCTTGAGACTTGAAACTTTGTGGATTGACCACCTAAGTCGCAGAATGTTTGGCCAAAAAAGCCTTTGATACCTGAGGTATCACTAGTTGAAAAGTGAAAGTTGCATGCTAAGGCAAGCTCATTTTTATTTCTTGCACAATGGTTCTGTGGAGGATCAGAGTGTAACAAGTGTAACTCAGCATGTGAATTTAAAAAAAAAAGGGAGTGTCTAAGTTTGGGGTATGACTTCCTCTGTTCACCATAGAAAACAAAAGTATCATGTTACAAAAGTTTAAAGCAAATGAAAGTATTTTTCTTTCCTTGTACAAAACATCTTCGTAGATGTTTCATAAATTTAAAGATTTTTTTTAACAACACATACAAAGTGGCTTACTTAGGGAAGACTAAACATTGTTTGGTGATGTAAGCACTGACAAGGCTTATGATTTCTCCATTACCACAACATGTCAAGTAAGTGAGTGTACTTTGAAAAGTTCAAATAGAATAGGAATATGCTGTGTCCTTTTAAGAACAGGAAAAGTAAAGATGCTGTTTGTATTTTCCAGATCACAATTCTTTTTCAAGAACTGTGGTATAACACAATAAGCATGTCATAACGTGAAATATGGTCATTTGCATGTGAATGATAAACTGTTTATGTTTCAGTTTCACATGAGAACAAGTATGTTCTTGATCATGTATCTGTAACAATGTTTGCAAATACAGGAAGTAAAGAAAATTTTTTTCTTTTTTTTTTTCAAATGTTTTGTTTTTCCTTGTGAATTGAACTGGGTTTAACTTCAAGGTTGATTAGGTCCACAAAATGATTCTCGTGACCCTAAGAAAGTTTAATTCAAATTTAAAATAAAATAGTATTTTTCAGATTAAGGAAAATTAATTTTGTGTGTTTCAAGTACACTGTGTCTTTTGCCTAAGATTCTTAAATAATTTTTTGGCTGCCAAAATGAAATTATAAAATTATTTTAAAAGGAAAAGGTTACCACTGGGAAAAACCAAAGGATTTTGTTTTAAATAAAAAAGTTATTTTTAATCTAATATAAAATTTCCTTTATATCCTCTCAGAGTAAATTGAAGTGTGATGTGAAAATCTGAAATAAAAATGAACGAAAACTACTCAGCAGTGAGAGTAAGAACTCTTTTCAGAGCCCTATAAATTAATATTCAATTTTTTTTCGTCATCTTTTTAGGAAAGAAACTATAGTTGAAAAGCCATTCGTAAATATAATATAAACAGGCTGCCGGTAGCCGATATACAGCTGTGGCGACAAGTCTTTTCCTGCAATTGCCATCAAGATCCACATTCTCGTTACAATATTCTTGGTGGAGAAACGTTACTCGAATCTGAAAAGAAGCCACTCTGATACAAATGTCAACAGTTTAATCGATAAAATAAATGAAAAAATATTCTACACGGACTTAGGACCCACAGTCAAATATGCTGTAAACTTGCTCCTTCGTGTCTCTGCGGTAAAATACGTGTGGCTAAACTTGTTTTCACCTTGAGGGAGTGTACATTTTGAAAAGGATAAACCAAATGACGCTTGTCGATCTTTCCTTCGGTTCTTATCTTCGTGTCACCGACACAATAGTACAGACCAATGGATTAAATATAAACTATAGTGAATAGATTGCTAGTTTTAGTGAATTACGGCAATCAGTGCACATACACCCACGTAGGCGGCTAAATTCAAGTCTTACATGCTTAAGGCAAACAGCACGATATAACCGGCCACGACTCGATTCACTCAGATATTGAAGGCAAGGATGTTGAGCGTAAATAAAAAACATTTTTCCTTTTTCAATATAACAGAACAAGTATCTAACCTTTTCTCCACTGGAATAAAAGAACCAGCGCAATCTGACGATATTACAGTGGTCCAATTTTCTCATGATTTGTAACTCTCGATTCTGAAAGGAAAAAAAAGTTGTTTTAACACCACCGAGGAGAGTAAAATTTCGGCATCTTACATCTTCTCCTACATATTCCACTAAAGGAAGAACATACAAGAACCATAACCACCTTAAATCGTTTGTCTTGCAACACTTTCTTTATTGCTACAAGCTCCGAGGAATCACACATCCTTGCTTGATACACAACTCCGAAAGATCCATTCCCAATAACTTTCGTGTCAGTATAACTGATCTCTTGCGTCCGATCAGGCAGTGAACCTGTAGTTGCTACAACTGTTGTCATTTTACCACCATCTTTATCTCCTAAAATAAGAACAGAATAAAATACTTTTGCAGTACACTTTATTACATTTTTCAGACTGGAATAGAAGCGGTGTTCGGTCCCAAACACCTTGAATATTAGGTTATGTAAAGTCTATACACTTACGACTAATTTTTACCCCTCCAAAATTTGGCGTATGTGATTTGTTTGTTTCGGCAAAAGACGTTGTTCTGGGTCTGTGGCCACTCATGGTTGTGAAATCTCCGACGTAGATGAACCCGAAGGATCACCGGACCATTACATATTCGTCGTCAGCTTATATTCAACATGGAGAGTTGCTTTCAAGACACCTTACGCCGAAAAGTGATTCGCGGGAATGGTGCTGAATCTGCACGCTTCTCTGGTCATTTATGGCCAAATAACCTATAGTTAGTGTCAGGATTTCCTGAATATGATGCAAGAATAACGATCAAATTGTTCGAGGTACGACAAAAGCCGTTTTAAGCTACGAAAAGAGCCAAAGGCAAGTGACACTCAAAATTCACAATGGCGCTTGCTACTGCAGGCATGTGCCGTTTAGGGGGCCCCCAACGAAGTTTGTTCAGTTAGTTAGCCAATGGCAACGGTGACGACATAATCCGAAGTCATCGCGATTTCTTCCGACTTCCGAGCGTAACGTCCGCATCTGCAAAGACCTTGTAAAACAATGCGAAATTTTATTATGTTCGTGTCCATATGGAAGTAGCTAATAAAACAAACCTTGTGTATTCTGTGACCATTTTAAAACTTTTTCGGGAGTTCAAAGAGAGCCAAAGCTGATAACGCTCGAGCAAGCGGAGGTGGACGAAAAGCAACCAAAATACTAGTCAGCGGATTTTCTCTAAATCGTGGGAATTTAAGATGGCGGATGAGTACGTTTCCGGAAATTTTGATTTCAGTGCAAGTGTATTGACCAGAATTGTTTACTTGTGCTTTGTTTTATTTCCAGAAAAGGAAATGAAGATCCTGAAGATACGATGTACATCCTCATTGGTATGTGTACAATTAATTGTTACAAATAGTTTTGAGGGGATCATTTGTCAAAGTTTAATAATTTTAGATTATTTTCTGAGCTCCATAGATGATCTATGGAGCTCAGAAAATGATCTAATTTTCGTGACTCACACTACCGGATGTTTGAGGTACCATTTTTTTTTTCATACACTTAAAGCGACAGATTGCCATCTTGGGTATATGGAAAAAGACCAGGTCCGAGGAAATGACTCATTGGTTACCTTCGAGGAAATTCTGCATATAGCAAAGGAGAAGAATGTAAGCAAAGTTTCAATGTATCGCTGACAAGCAAGATTTAACAATGATTACTACCATTAAATTTATTTGTTGAATTGTCATTGGTTGGTGTTATTTTTATCATCAAGAAAAAATTTAATACTGGTCAAGGTACCCACTGTCATATCATTCCTAATTTGTACTTTTCTCTATTTCATTTAGGTAGATTTTATTCTCCTTGGAGGAGACCTATTTCATGAGAATAAACCTTCTCGGAAGACTTTACATGGTGCAATGGCGCTCTTTAGGAAATATTGCATGGGGGATAAAGCTTGTCAGATGGAATTTCTCAGTGATCAATCTTTGAACTTTTCTCAGTCCAGGTTAGATACAAAAATTGTTTATAGGAGAGCTGCTTCTGGAGAAGTTCTCCCTGTGGCATGGAAAATGTTATATAACACTTTTCCAGGTAGGCTTAAACTCTAGATTGATAAATTAATTTAGTCTAGAAACTAAGTGACATGGGATGGAATTTGTACTAGTAAGTACTCTTTAAGTGATCAAATTACAAAATTATATGAATATATTATGTTCTGACTCAAACCAACTACAATAATGTGTGTACAATCTTCTACATGAGTCATATACAAAAATCCGTAGTTTTCTTTTTGTAGTTGTGATCCAAGAAGTTTTAAGCTCACTGCAAGAGACGTGTCCGAAATTTATTTTCAGATTTCCTTGGGTAAATTATGAGGATCCAAATTACAACATATCCATTCCAGTGTTTTCCATTCACGGAAACCATGATGATCCTGCTGGGGTAAGTGTCGAGCCGTGTACTGACAGTAGACATTACTAAAATCTATCAATTGCGCTACTAATTATTTATTACACGACTCGGGCAGTCAGAGAGCCAATAACTAAAATCAACCAATCGAAGTGCTCTATTGCCGGTCAATATTCTCTCAGTATTGGACCGGGCACTGTCCCAAATGGTCCTGAATGATACCGCACTTGTGTCCCTTTGAACTTCAGTCGTATAATAAATCTCTTATTAACCAAGCTTGTTCGGGACCATACTGGAAGAATATCGGCCCTGGGTCTTTTTTGTATGGACCGAGTGCGTGAGGTCTGTACTGTCAAGATCTCAGGCCGATATTCTCCCAGTATGGCCCTCGCGCATGGTTAATAAGATATAGGTACTACATGGCAAGAGATCAACAATTAGAAGTAACTAGAAAGTAGTGAATGAATCATTCCCAGAAATGGAGTGTGTGATTGGTTGTCATTAAGAACCACAGGTGCAGACTAGTGGAAAGTAATGTGAGAATGTTCAAACTGTCTGAACAAAGAAAAGATTTGGTCACAGGTTAGCTAGAGAATATCTGCATTCTGAGCAGAGAATACTCTTACCTCTAAAGATTGATTAACACCCAAGGACTGATATCTCAGGGATTATAAAGATGAGTGGCATTACCTTTACTTGTTTCATACAATAGAAAATGATAGGCTTCTGTCCCTGCAAGACCCAACTTTTTACATCCCAACATCAGTATTCCTATTCTCCACACTGTTTTCAATACATTTCTAATAATACTGACCATAATAACTTGTGTTACCTATCAAGAGCTTTTGTTGGCAATCATTTCTTTTATGCTCATGAACAATGATGTTTGATTCAGTAGTGATACTATACTCTTAATGGCTAAAGGGTTAACAGACTCAGCATAAACAGGAAAGCTACTGTTTTTCCTCCATATGCAAGACAACAGACAATTATTTATCTATGTATTTTTGTTTAATCATATATTTTTTCTTTGCCTACTTGCATAGGATGGGAACCTTTGTGCTTTGGATTTGCTCAGTGTCTGTGGATTTGTTAATTATTTTGGTAGAGCTCCATCAATTGATGACATCACTGTGTCACCTATCTTGATGCAGAAGGGTAGTGTTAAGGTAGCACTGTATGGTTTGGGATCCATAAGAGATGAGCGTCTACACCGTACATTCCTTAATCATAATGTCAAGATGCTGAGACCCAAGCAGGATCCTGAATCCTGGTTCAATGTATTTGTTTTACATCAGAATAGGTATGAGGGTATTAAGTGTAAACTTTGCCTGTCAACTTTTAAATAACCCCCATATGAGGGGCTGATCCCTAATCCATTGTACTACTGATTATTAGCATGCGCTGTCATCATAATAATGGAACTTCTGTAAAATGCAATTTTCTTTCCCATCTCCAGGGCAAAGCATGGCTCAACTAATTACATTCCAGAGAAGTTCCTTGCTGATTTTCTTGATCTTATAATGTGGGGCCATGAACATGAGTGTATTATAGCACCAAAGAATGCAGAGGACCCAAACCTGTCATTTTACATCACTCAGCCAGGGTCCAGTGTTGCAACCTCTCTCAGTGAAGGAGAATCAAGACCTAAGTAAGTGTGGATTATTTATATTTCTTTGATGAGTCATATTATTTGTGCCATCATTATCAGTATTCGCAATCACTCAGTTGATCTTTGTCCTCATCATTGTCCTTCTCCTCCGTCTCTTCCCTCCTCATTGCCATTATTGCCATGTGCACTGTTGTTTTCCTTATCATTTTTATTGGTGTTCTCTTCATTGTTAGCATTATCAATGTGGTTATTGTTGTTGTCATCATCAAGATCACTTTTGTTATGGGCATTATTGTTGTCCTCATAATTTTTGTTAGTCTTAATCTTCATTGTTAGCATGATTACTGTCATTATTATTGTTGTTATCCTCATCCTTTTGCTGGTGTTTGTCATCATTGTTAACACCATCAGTGTCATCATCATCATTAACATTGTCTTCACCACATTTCATTTTGTGAATTATGATTTTGTAATAGAGTCTTTTGGATTCATTGCCCTGTCATTCCTTTTATTTTTTAGGCATGTAGGAATCCTTAAAATAACAAAGAAGAAAATGTTCAAAATAGATAAGATTAAACTGAAGACCGTGCGCCCTTTTTACATTGAAGATGTGATTCTGAAAGAAACAGAAATTGATCCTACCCAAGAAGACATGGTGATGGCTTATCTAGTTAATAAAGTGGGTTACATTAAAATTATTTTAAAAAAATTGATCTTATTGATGTGTGGACTTGAAGTAATTTGTTTATTCAATCTTAATGGTAAACACTCAAACCAAATGAACTTTTATTTTTATGATGGTTAAGGTGGAACAGTTGATTGAAAAGGCAAAGAGGGAACACACAGGCAGCTCTCGTCAACCTGACAAACCTCTCATCAGATTACGGGTAGGTTTTGCCTTTATGTGGGTAAAGTTTTAGACTAGTAAATCTTATTTTTAATCTGTTTCCTAATTTTCCTGTACAAGCTTGTTTGAAGATTTTCTCTCACTGTTGATAGGTTGATTACAGTGATGGCTTTACAGCTTTTAACATTCGAAGATTTGGACAACAATTTGTAGACAGAGTGGCAAATCCAAAGGACATTCTACTGTTCTTCAGGAAAAAACAACCATTTAAAACTGCAACAGGTATATAGTATAGAGACTTTGTCTTTTGAGACATTGCTGCAAAGTCTAACCTGCATTCAAGATGGGCATACATTTTTTGAGGAGCAAAAAATTCTTCTTAAAATCTTGTACATCACAGCATAATCATTAGAAACTGGCAACTGGATGTAAGGTTAAGTCTTGGCCAGGGTCAATGAATTTTCATCATTCTCTTTTCAGAATTTATTTTTTTCTTGAACAGAATAAAGGAATTATTGGTGTATTTTTGTCCTAGACAAGAGAGATAGAGATGAATCTAGAGTTCCGCACCTACGTCCAGAACCACTGGACACAATAACAATGGAAGACTTGATCAAAGAGTATTTAACCTCAAAGGATAATGTATGTACATTTCTTTCAACACTTGGACAAATTTTAATTTTTTCTTAATTATAGTCCATGAGATAAAAGAGCAAGACCTGGATAAAATTCTTAAGTCAATAAACTTAAATTTCAGGCATTAGAACTACGGATTCTAACAGAGGGAAGAATGGCACAGGCACTTCGTGAGTTTGTTGAAAAAGATGAAAAAGATGCAATATCTACCTTAGTAAAGTGGCAACTAGATCAGGCACATAGCCACTTGAAGAAACGACAGAATATCCCTGAAGAAAACATTGAAGTTGAAGTTTTCAAACATACGGAGGAAATACGACAGAAAGAAGATGAAGATGAAGGGCATGATGCAGAAGACATGAGAAAGGTACTTGTCCAATCGTGTTTTATGTATATATATCTTATTAACCAAGCGCGAGGGCCGTACTAGGAGAATATCAGCCTGAGGTCTTGACAGTACGGACCGAGCGCAGCGAGCTCCGTACAAAAAAGACCGAAGGCTGATATTCTTCCAATATGGTCCCGAGCAAACTTGGTTAATAAGAGATTTATTAAACGACTGAAGTTCAAAGGGCCACAAGTGCGGTATCATTCGGGACCGTTCGGGACAGTGCCCGGTCCAATACTGAGAGAATATTGACTGGCAATAGAGCATTTTTGATTGGTTGATTTTAGTTATTGGCCCTCTGACTGCTCGAGTCATGTAATAAAAGCTTTTAATGCACTTTTTAGACAAATGGTTTTCCAACTTTTGTCATTATCAGTCAAACTGCTATTTCTGAAAATTATGTTTAGGTGCTTGAAGAATCTCGTGCCAGTCAAATAAACACTGGAAATGATGTTGACATGAGTGGCAGTGATGATGAGGATGGACCACCCAGGCCAAGTACTAGTAGAGGTACAAAATTTTCAATAACCTGTTCTTAATAATGGCGTCATTTTCACCATAAACAATACCAAATGCCCTTATTCAAACAAAATGGAACATTTACATGAGAAAGGTCTTCCAACAAAATGGACTTCTTAAACAGCCAGAAAACTAGGATAATAATATATACGTTAATTGAGGATCCCCCATAGGGGCTTTTCAGCCACAATGTAGTTTTAACTAAGTGCTTAAAAATCCCCACTGGCAGTAGGTGACCAGTGAGATATTTACAGAGCGCAGCCGAGGAGTTGAACTAGGGGCAACCGAGAACAAATCCAGTGAGTGGCAGGGTGGAGGACTTGAACCCAGGCCACCGGATTTCAAGTCCAGGACCCTAACCACTTGGCCACGCCACCTCCACCATAAGATATACAATGATCTCCTTTTAAAAGTCACTAGCAGCCTTCTTCTTTATCAAACAGGAAAAAAAGGCCACAGTGATGCTGTTAACACTTCCACAAGAGGCACAGCTGGAGGACATGGCAGGGGAAGAGGAAGAGGAAGGAGTAGAGGTGGGCGTGGAAGAGGAAGGGCTGCCAACACATCTCAAACAATAATGGATTGTAAGTTTTCTGGGTGGCAAGGGACCAATATGTTGAGAAGCTTTCATTGAAAGATTGTTTTCATTTGAAGTTACATCACAGTGAATTTGTGCCTATTTTTACAAGGAAACCTTCATTTTCTAGCTTTTACTTCAGCATCCAAGAGAAAGAAACAACAAAGTAACGTTAAGGTTTGTTATGTTTTTTTTTTTTTAGGGTGGTATGTTATATTTAGTTAACATGCATACTGGTTTCATACAGATTTTCAAGAAAAGGGTTGATCTCACATATCAGCTGATCTTCATTCATTTATTTAAAGTCACATTCTATGACTTGTTGAATAATAAGTAACTGTTTTCTTGTACAAAATTTGTGAGTGGGCTTGGTCTCTTATCTTACAGGGAGATAGTTCTGATGATGATGATGACGATGAATTCAACATTCCATTATCATCTTCTTTGAAGAAGACCAAAACTGTACAGTAAGTGCTCTTCATTGTCAGATTGTATCAACAAGAGTCATTTTCCTTGTTGAAAAAACAAAGAAATCATGTCACTTTATTTTGTGATGTTTTTTTTGGGTAGAGGTAAATTTTTAAGTACTAGATTGTCAGAGTAAAGATAAACAAAAGAGGTTAGAATAAGGAGAATTGAAATAAAAATGGCCTGTGATGGAGACAATTTAGAATGAACATTGTACTTTATGAATTTGTTAAGATGTGCAACCCATAAAGAACCAGCTGCTCCTTTTGCTCTAAACTGACCTCAAGGAAAAGATGAAAGAGTAGAAAATGTAATGTTGTTGTTTACCATGAAAACTTAAGGATTTTAGAGCCTAATTCCATACTACACAACAAGTAAGTGAGTACTGTACAAAATTAGTGAGTAAGCGATACAAACAATTAAACAGAAAAAAAGACACAAGACTAAGTGGTTAACCAAGAAAAGATAAAGCTCATGGTCTTTGGTAGCTGCCTGATAATCCGCAGATTGCCTGACTTCAAGAAACCCATGCCATCAGAGTCTGTCAAGGATCTTGGTGTAACATTTGACCACACTTTGTTATTTGACAATCACACCTCAGGGACAGTTTCATTTTGCATGAGCAAATTAGCTCAGCTACAACTTGTTCAGAACCTTGCAGCTTGAATAAGTACTGGTGCCAAAATAGTTGAACACATAACTCATAACCTAGGGTGGCTCCCTGTAAAATAGCAGCTTTATCTTTGGGAAGCTATTTTTTTCATTCAAGTGCGTGACAGATTCTGCCCTGACATCACAGCTAGTTACAAGAGGAAAGACATCAGACCAAACAATAAGAAACTTTACAAAACTAATTATTCCTTTACTTTAAACTGCTGCTGGCCAGAGATCATTTCATTATATGCCAGTAAACTTATGGAATTCATTAGACAAAGATTTAAAACTGTGTAAGAGTCCTGAAAAACTTTGAGAAAGTTAAAGTAAACAAGATGTTTAACAAGTTTTTAAAACAAGACTAGTTGTAACATTTAGTTTTAATTCTATAGTTTTAGATAAATAAATAAATATATATCTATGGCATGGCTTACTAGACGCTACCACAAATGTTGGGTCGTTTGGGGTGACCCTCTCGGTTCTCCTCCATCCTAGCATCAGCACTGCACTGATGAGGCCCAGAAGGCCGAAACAGTACTGTCTGCAGTTAGTTATATATATATATTTATATAAATATTCATGCGAGGAAGTAGCCGATACCATTGAATAGTGCTCAATTACACATGTGCAGAGCTTAATACAGTAGGTAGCGATCAAACAAGACGACACATGGTTTCTGTTACTTGGAGTTTCGTGCTTACACGTTCATCAGACAGATTTCATCTCGGGGATTATTCAATGATATTCACCTCGCCTTCGGCAAATAATTGTTAAATATAAATATATATTATTTATAGAATTATATTATTAAAAAAGATTATGTAGGTTGAATTAGAAAACTACAAAGACTACACTTTCATCCTTACAAGCCTGTTTCGTGATTGCTCACTCATCAGGGGTTTTCCTTGATAAGAATATTCATAACCTTTGTTTAAATACTATTAGTATATAATAAAACAGTGGATAGCGTTGAAGGCGCGCTCTGATTGGCTAGTCAAACTCGGAATATCCTTTGCTATTTACCTCCGAGCAACTCGACAAAAAATGGCATCCCAGTTTCCATCTGTGACAAGCGAAGAAATCACTCAAATTAACAACGGTGGTGTATATTATCTCACTGTTTTAGTATATACTAAAACAACTATTCATCTCAGTGTCGGTGGTTAGCGGTGGATATTTACCTCGCCGCTTCGCGGCTCGGTAAATATCCACCACTAGCCACCTCCACTTTGGTGAATAGTTGTTAAATATCCAACGCGCGCTCGTGGAATAATTGTTCACTAATGCATTAAGGTGGCTGAACACAGTTTTCGCGCGCGCTTTTACTGATGCAATTCAGCGCGCGCACAAGGATTGCAAAAAACAAACATGCCGTCAATAGAGCGGTCATTTCATCAACACGTACCCACACTATCTGTGCTATTTTCTCTATAGTTGGCGTAGTGTATAGAGGGCTGTAATCTTTTATTACAATCTTATTTATTACAATCTNTATATATATATATATATATATATATATATATATATATATATATAAGCGAAATAGGCAACGTAGGATCCATGACAGTGCTCGACAATGAAGGAGCGATTACAGTAGCAAATGGACTACTCAAGTGACGCACATATGGATTTTAATACAGCCTGTTTCGTAGACCAACAAAAGTTGATCCACTCATCAGTTAAACTCCATACACACTGAGGCATCGTGACGGTTAACTCTAACTCAGCAACGTGATCACATGACATTGTTTAAAAAATTCAAATCTTGAAAACCATGCGCGCGCTGATAATAGCGTTAAGAATACTTGAGAATATATTTTCGCCGATGTCTACAATTGGATATTATTTCACTTCGCTTGTTTAAAGAGGCTTCATGTGGATAAGACAAGATAAAAAATTTCTCAGTGAGGCATAAATTGCAACGTTTTGTGGCATTGGAATATGCTCTAGCCCCAGCAATAATTTTCCATGAAATCGAATAGTATATATGTATTTATATATATGTGTAAACATTAATGTACATTTATATTTTATTCTACTCTTTTGTATTTAGTCATTTATCATATTGTTTACTGGTAAACCTTTTTCTTGGAGTACGCAATAAATTAAACCTTAAACTAAATTATGCAGATTCCAGCACAATGTGCAGCAGTTCTTGGCACTGAGTATCTGTTATTTTAATTAGGTATACAACACTCTCTGAACACTGATGTGTTTTTTGATCAGATCAACATCACAAAGGTCCAATGGAGCCAAGAACAGAACAGCTGTGGTCAATACTGTTGAAAAAGAAGTATGGCTCAAACTTATGTTTGTCTGTTGGGCATAGTAAGATGGCTGTGTTAATAACATGACAGGAAATAACTATTAGATACAAAATATATTATTTTGGCCACACCTCCAAAAATTACCTCTCCAGCATGTGTGCAAGGCTGTCATTGCTATAATTCAGCTTATTCAGTGTAGGAAACGTCTTATTGACTGCTGTCAAGTTTTGTACTGGTGGTTTAAGAGGATGCACATTTAGATCGCTCATGAAAAATGATTGATGAGTTAAAAGTTTTCAATGTAAATATCCAGAAGCTGATCATGAAAAGCCAGTAAATTTGACTTTTTCAGAAGACAATGTATAAAATGCTTCAGTCCTTAACACCCATACAAATTTATATGAACTAATTATTATCGTTGTTAAATTTATAGGAGGAAAGTGAGGATTCAGATGATCCTTTTTCTATGCAGCCAAGCAGTAAAAAAAGCAGAAGATAGCAAAAGATGAGGCCTTGGAATTTTCCAAGAAATCCTATGGTGGGACAGTGGGAGAAAGTATCAGTGCAAAACAACACCTATAAATTTTATTAGAAAAAGTTAACAACTCTTGATTAAGGAGTCTTGTTCAAAATGAGGTTTGTACTAATTCAGGATTCTATGTAACCCTTGGTCTAATTTTTCTTGTGTTGGAGTGTATACTGGGACTAGCAATTTGCGAGGATTTTTGTCCACTAACGTTAAAATGTATGAACTGTCAATGAAATTGTCTTTAAAGCTACCTGTATATCAAAATTACATTAACCCAGGGTTCCCATCTTAGGAACTTGGAATATTGCCCAGAGGGCAAAAAAGGTGGGACAGAAAAAAGTTTGTGAGAGTTACATCTTAATGGGTTTTATATTATCTAAAGGAACTCTTGACAAGACTCTTGACATTCTGTAGGTTGTTGTTTTCTTATGTCTGAACATGCCATTTTGTTTCAATTGTTCCCAGAGCAATTTTTGGCAAGTTAGAGTTCATGTACTATAAAAAGGAAATGTAAACTTGTTTATATTTGAAGCATGAAAATTTTGTACTTTTAAATCTTTAGTTAATGTTTCAAAATTTTTAAAAGAAAGACAACTAAATAAATAAAAGAGCAAACAAGTTATTTATGTATATTGGAACTTAAGGCTATCCATGGTAGTTCTTTTACAAATTTATAAAGTAAACAAGCATAATATAGAAGCTAAACAATGGTTAACTAGGTGTTATTTATAACATTTTAATTAAGAAAGCTATTCATCTTTTTGCAGTTGAAGGTCACTTCTCTCTAAGACCTCAATAACCTTCTCTTTTTTAAAAAAGTCACTCATGAACAGGCTTTTTTGATCTGTTCTCCTATGAGCTGTGTTTGTGATATTTTTTGTGCCTTGCAGGATGCCGTGGTTTATGAAGTGGAAGTATTTTCCTTTTATGGACCTGAATGCTTTCTTTGTGACCATCTTTCATCTTCTCTCTTGTCAGTTGTTCCTCTGCATCTTGTCCACTGACAATAAACTTGCCCTTCTCTGTTTCACCTTCACCAATCTCAGAATGTGGCTGATTTGATTTTTTATCTGTGCAGAATAGGACCCAGTCAATTAAAGTTTAACAACTTGATTATGTGATTATAAAATATTGCTACTCCATTAAAACTCTGTGTAACTTTCGGTAATAAATACTGTCCTGAAGATTAAAAACGCTCGGCCTTGTAGAATTGTTTGTACCTTTAATCACTCCTTAGGTTCCTTGTTACATCGCCCTCCGTTTCCGTTTAGTCTTTCAGTTTATATAAGACGAGTAAAACCGTTGACAATAACATCCTTAAAGCAAATTTAATGCCCTGAAATTCGTTTAGGTTGGCCGAGGTACAACCTTGTCTTGAACAGTGAAAACATTGTGTCACTTGTCTGAGCGAAGACTGGTAACAAAATTTAAACTAAATGCCACTGTACTAATCTAGTGCGACAGCATTAACACTCTGTATCAGACTAAGGACACACAGTCACCAACAGAACTGGAATCTTGATAACCTTTTGACCCCTACCAGTAACTAGCATTTAATTTCTACCTGCAATTTCTCCTTACAGTATCACCCCCAAATCACACAGTAAGGTCATGAGAATAAAGGAAAAGATCACTAACTGAGGAAGCTCTTGATTGTTAAACAAATTCTCCTTGTCACCACCATAGGAGATGTAAGGAGAACAGTATGGAGAATATGCATACTGATGTTACGGTGTAAAGGGTTAAAGATCTTAAACCGCCTCCCGGTTAGCTCAATTGGTTAGAGCGCCGGATTGTGTTGTGCGGGAGGTCAAGGGTTTGAGCCCTAATAAGTGAGGAGAATTTGCTACCTTTCTACAGTCAAGAAATGGATAGATATTCTAGTCTTCTCACATAAGGACAAATAAATCGTAGGCCCCGTCTCCTGTAGGGTTAGGGGTAGGACACGTTAATTTCCCATGTATGAGATTACTGTGTGATGGATGCCCTCCCCTGGGGTGGGATGGGTGGGAACTGGCCCTGAAAAGCCCCCATGGGGAGTGGTCAACTAACCTGGTATGTGTATGTATGTATATGTATATGTAAACTCTTCCACAACTCATTTTGAAAGTTCTTTAAATGCCTCTCTAGAATCTTACTTAGGAGAGTTAAGAAGGTCATGTGCTTCAAAAGAAAGAAAGATTTAAGGGTCTTGAAAAGTCTCAAAAATTCACCACCTTTTTTGAGTACCAAGACCAGCTTCTGCATTGATGAATAGATAATAATGTCTTCTCACAAATTATAACATTGTATAAGTTGACTTTTAGCATCAGGTAGTCATTTGCTTACCATCACATTTTAATGCAGTACAGACCCAGGAGCCACAAGCACAAACACTAAAGTGCAAAGAAAGAACATCAGTTGAATATATTTTGGTAATGTCTGCAGATTGACTTAAGTGTAACTTAGCCATCATTGTCCCCTTACCAACTTTTTTCTATTTTGAGAGAGTAAAAAGAAGAGAAGAACAAATGGCTTAATTGTTAAAGGAGAATGAATGTAACTAATTGACTAAGCCCTTCTTACCAGCTGTTACAGTCTGTGGGAATCTCTGTGCCATCATTGTAAACCTCACTATCCAACTCACAATCTACATTGCAGTAATTAAGACAGTTCATCATTTAGCTTGGACTAGACTATGAGTGGGTGAATGAAGTTAGTGAAGGAGAATTAAGGGAAAACTGAAGAACATATGCCTGTATCCACTCTCTTGTTTGCTTTTTTCTGCACTCTCTCTGACCACAACTTACATATTTCAGATTTAGCGGAACATGTTTTACTTTATATCAATATACAATGGAATTTGGATAGATCAATAAAGTTGAAATGGTAAATTGGCCACTGTAACGATTACAAAAGCTGACGTTTCGAGCGTTAGCCCTTCGTCGGAGCGAATGATACAATGGAATTTGCTGGTTACGAGGCAAGCTCTACCAGTTCAAATTAACATAACTTTATGAAAAAAAGTTTACCTTTCTTTGGTGGCTTGAATTCTGTTGAAAAATGTTAAAATACATGTGGTTGAGATGTTTATTATTATTGAAATATTTTTAATCTGTTAATTTCTATCTTGGTTATTAGGCAACTCCACTGCTGTTACAGTAGTAAATAGTCTTGTCATCAGTATCACTTGACTTCAAAAGTGTCTGCTCTAAACATTGAAATTATACCTGTATATGCCAAGCATTTCACTACAACTTGCTTGATGTTGTACAAGTCAAAAAAACTTTGGTGATCATGGGCAAATGTTTTGTAGAAGGCACATGGTCCACCCTATTGAAAACATACCAGAACTGTGGATCATGATTGAATATAATTTAACTTTCCAACTCACCAGGATCAAGGCATCTCATAAACTCTGTAATGTTAAGTTCCCAGTCAAAATCCTCATCACTGATGGATATCAGGGCATCAGCACAAAGACTTTGCAAAACAGGGTTGACATACTGGTCAGAACCAGTCATCTGAAGCATAAAACAATCGCAGTTGAAGTAATCACAGATGAATTACTTTACAAAAGGACTGGAAAGGACTGACTAAACTCTGATGATAGTTTCTGCTCACTGACAGCAGTCCTTTACAGGACAACTGTCATCCAGAAATTCATACTACACGATCAGCTGAAGTTATATACCTGACAAAACAGAGATGTGTTTTACCTCAGCTTGTGATTGGTTTGCCAGGACAAAGTCTCTGAACTCTGCTGCATCAAGTTTTCCATCTTTGTTTTCATCAACTTTGTCAAAGTATGATTGCAGAAGATTTCTGTAGCCATCTAATCCTTCTGACAACTTTTCTTGGTTCCGCAGCCATCCAATCAAACGACTACGTACATCATTGCGGTCATTCTCATAGCACACAACTGAAAAGTGAAAGGGTTTACTTCAGAGACTCTTTGCTCAGTTGTCTTTTTTGTGGCTGGATAAAAAGCATCTACAAATTTTCTCAATTTTAAAACCATGTAGCCATTGTGGTTCATAGTATTGTGTTGGCCTCAAATTTCTTAGACCAGTTGTTTCATATTGTGATGAAGAAAGGCACAAGACGAAGAAGAATAAAAAATCAACCTGGTTTGAAAAAACTCAGATAACTGTGAACACAATAAAAATTTATGGAATGTTTACAAATGATCAGTACACAATTGACACATTAGAATCGAATCAAAATCAAGCTCACAGTTTACTGAGTTTCACAATAGACCAGGAGAAAATTCAAACCACAAGAATGAAGTAAATTTATACACCTCTTATATGTTGGGGTACAAACTGAACCACTTACCAGGTTTTGAATGATTAACCTTCACAGCAGATGGAGGTTGGATGGGCTGTTCTCTGCATGCCCCTACATACTTGATAGAAATTTTCTTTTCCTCCAAGCAGGCAGTTCTGTGCAGTTCACAGTGGTTTGGGTAGGTCATACCGTTTGACCCACATACTGGTTTGTCATGGTTAGGACATGACTTCTTACACACACAGACAGCATTATTATCTATTACGAGACACTCCTCACCAGCATGGCATAGTACATTCATACATAGATCTAAAACAAAACCATGTGAATATGCTACTTTTGGGTGTGATCAAGATTTCAGATGTTGTTCGAGAGCTCACAGTTAGTCTAATAAAGGGATGTACCTTTAATTTGACAAATCGTGCTCATAAAACAGAGAGCAAGAATCAGAAGACATTTGTTTTACTACAGGAATGTCTCATGGTAATCCATTTAATGAAGCTACATTGTTGCACCAAGGCCAGTTCCTCTCTAGCCCCCCCCCCCTTCCCCTACCAAAAAAATATGTCTAGGAAATAATTATGGAAATAGTCATTCATAGGCTGGAATGTTTTTTTTTTTCTTAAAGGAGCATTAGGGGGGGAGGGGCTCAGAAAATCAGTGGCAAGAGATGGCTTTTCATAGGGTGGGGTTTGAGGGTAATTTTTGCAAGAACTATGAACAGTGTGGGGGTGGGAGGGGAAGGAGCGGTGGGGTGCAGATGTCTAACCCTGTGCACTGGAATTTTTCAAGTACTGGTGGGTCCTATGACCAAGCTTTGAGAAAATGTTGTCCCCTGTCTCTTGTTGTCCACAACCTACTATTTCCTAGATAAGAGATTAATATATACAACACACATACCTTTGTTTTCTCCGTCATGCACTTCAGTGCTCTCAGACAAAATCTAAGAGGGCAGAAAAATGGGAAAATAATTTGACTATTTGTTTTAAAATTGTAAACAGATGATTTTCAGATTCTCCATTATTACAACCATTAAACTGAAGTAAACGATCCAGAAAACAGAAATTGCCTTAATTTGTCCTCATCCTTGTATGGAACGGAAACATCGACCCTCCTTTACTGACATTGACATACTAGCACAGGTTCAAATGAAAGCGGTAATCAGAGTAAACAAACTAACAAGGTCGTAATGTGTTAAGCATCTGGAGGTCATGCGAAATGTTTTTCATTTGCCTGTTTCGAAAATTTCCATATGTATCGGGCAGATAACAATTATCTACGACCTAAGGGATACCGTATAGCAACTGCAATATGTATTATTTATTTTAATGCATTTGCTGTTCATTTTGTCATCGTTTTAACTTTCCCTCTTCAGAGCGGTGGAAAAAATTATTGAACGTAAGCAAATCGCTTCCATTAAGAGGAAGAATTCTTCCTCTTAATGGAAGCGATTTACTTACGTTCAATAATTTTTTCCACATCAAAACGGTTTCAAAACCATGTAAAGATCCCATCTCTCCTTCAGCTATACTCACCAATTCCTCTGCGGGTGCAAAATGAACCAAATTCCACAACACAAAACCGACAACAAGAAACGATCGCATCTTCTAATCGATCTGCTCGGTATCTGTGACAAGTTTACCACTGAGCGCTGAGGGGTTGGTTTAATTTCAGAAGCTTTGGTTACTAGTAACTGTCGTCAGATGATGTACTAGACAATTCCTAACTTACCAGAATCCACCCAAGAACAAAGGAATAGTGACTTTACGTTAATGAAAAGCACAGTACTGTGCAATCTCAATTCCTTGACAAGGGGTGCGTTGATCAAGACCTCAATATGTAACATAATCCTTAATTTCCGGATAGCAATTGCGGCGAGTAATGTGGAGAACCTCTTTCACGCAGATGTTAAATTCAGTTGCTCAAGCGTATAGCAAGGGGTTTTCATAACTTTTTGGGCGTCTCGAGAAAAGAAAAACCGGGCATAACATGGAGTTTACAGCATATTTGCCATGTTTTGGTAGAGACTGGTGTTCTCTCGGTTTTAGCCGTTCTAAGAAACCGGAAACGCCGCAGCCCCACCCATCAGGATCATTCTAGTCATTCTCGTTCCTAAAGTCCTCGTTCCTTCGAAAATGAGTGTTCCTAGGGCTGAGAACGTCATCTATAATAGCAACAGTCAAGAAAAAAATTAATCAAATAGTGAACATAAATCTCACTGGACACTACGTCAAACTAACCTAATAATATCGGTGAAAGTTCATGTAAAAATGAAGTTCACCCCTCAGTTGGCCGAGAAGAAGTAACCTTCCTCCTTCTCTACTCGGTTAGAAAGAATGTTAAATTATTAACTTCTCGTTTCATGATGGTCCATAAGGTAAAAGGATAGTTGCCCTCACTGAACGACAACTTAGTTCATGGTAAACGCTACCCCATCAATCATACAAAGTTGGCGGGGTATCCTGTCTTTTCGTCCAAGAGTCTTTCGTCTAAGTTTTTTCGTCAAAAGTCTTAGGACCATTCGTCCAATCTCAAGTCTTTTCGTCAAAGTTACATTATTTTAAATGAAGTTGTAACGCAATGTGTTTTATTAGATAGTGACAAAAATGAAGACTTACCATTTAATTATTTCGCGCAAAAGAAATGGGAATAGTAGGCTTGTTGAGAAGCGTCTGTTTAGGCGTAATAGACAGCGAAGTGTAACATCACTAAATGTCTGACGTAACCAACATATTCGAACATGATAGAGAAATAAAACTAAACCAAAAATGACCCAAATAAGCATCTTCTCTGCGTATTTAACGTAATTGACGACGTTGAATTCGTAAACGAGGATTGGTGACTAAAGTTATCGGAACCAAAATGGTAACGGCTCGCACTTGTAAGTCTTTCAAGTTCTTAATATAGCCTTATCTAACCTTCTAAGAGTTATTTATTTGCTTCGAGAAAAGACTTAACAATTATACGAACAAAACTTTTGGACGAAGATACTTGGAAAAAAAGACTTTTGGACGAAAAGACCGTAACTCCAAAGTTGACACGTGTAAAGATGAACCAAAAAGGTCCGCGACTCGTTCACGATTGTCCTGAGAGAAAAAAACACAGTGCAATAAGGTTTACGAGTAAACATGGCCACGAGATGGAAGACAAGCCGAAGTAAAGCAAATATGAAAAAAAATATGAAAAAAATGCAAGAACGAGAGATGAACGACACTTTGTTCTTTTGTCGACTTAGGAGTTTCTGGCGAGAGAAAACTGAAAACGTATCCGTAATGTGCACTGTGGGAGACTTGTTTCTCTATTAGGATTAAAACTAGTATTTTTGGAAACGAGAGAGAAAACGTAATTCATTGTCAAACATGTGAACTTTATTGTAGTTATTTTCCATTTTTGATTCACAGTCAATTTATGAACATATTTTGAATACTAATAATTAAATCATTGACCTATCCAGGCACCTGGGTACTTCAAAATTTTACATTAAATACTTTCTTTTTTTTAAATAGTAAATCATTCTTTTCTAAAATCAACAATCCACATAATAATAAATATTGGACACACCTTACTTTCAGTTTTCAGAATGTTTTCTCAAGAAAATACTGATTTGGTGATCGTTAAATGAAGTTTAACAATAAGATCGCACCTGGCTAACGAATGACCCATACAGAAGGAAAACACTGAGTTGAAAATAAAGAATCCACTAGCCTCTTAGCTGAATTTTGCGATTATCACTTTTGAAAAGTCTAGCCAAAGTGTGGAAAAGGGAAAAAAATCTGAAGAGATCCAGAGAACGAATTCAATTTTTTTTTTTTTACACGCAACAGTAGTTTTCAACAAAGAAAAACTGACAGTGGTACAAGGAAGAAATGTGGGGCGTGAG